TTCATATCGAGTTACACTTATTATAAAACCCAGGTTGTGTGTGTGTGTGTGTGTGTGTGTGTGTGTGTGTGTGTGTGTGTGTGTGTGTGTGTTTCGTTTATATGGGATCGGATTTCTACATTTTTCAACCGATTTCAACAAAACTTCACTTTTTTTGGCAGGTAGTGTTTCTTCGTGTTTCTGTCTTGCACACTTTTTTCTTTATTTTTACTTTCAGAATGTTTTAAAAATTCCATTTACAGGACAACTGTTTATAATAAAATTCTATTCAATCGGTAGGCTCTAACGATTGAAAACAATGTTTTGTTTGAGTTTGGGTTTGACCAATTCGTAAAAAACTAAAAAAAACAAAACAAAAAAAAACTAATTAAGACATGCGTGTCCGTAAACCTTAAACAATAATCTTTGTCAATTTTATTTTTCAGTCTTTATGATGGTCGATACTTGATCTATCTCTTACTGTTGCATTCCCGGGCAACGCCGGGTTCTACTGCTAGTATATATATATATATATATATATATATATATATATATATATATATATACTAGGTTAAAAGCCGCCTTATCTGGCTGCATTTATGCTATCTCCTGTGGAGGGCTCTTGATTGAGCTTTTGGCTTGTTCAGGAGTCCCTAAGTCATTGCATATTCTCAGCACTGGAAACTCTCCTGGCTGTGGTTTCATCTGCGTTTTCATTTGCGCGGGACTTTCTTTTTCTCGCTGCAGCCTTAGCTCTTTTGATTGCAATCTGGTCCTCTCTCGGCCGGGATATCTTTTTGCGAAGCACACTGCTGCCGTATGCGATAGGCAACAATAAACTACAGAACAACTAAAAACTGGTCGCTGCATTTAAGTATTGCACATATATTTAAGCTTGCCTTTTAAAAGTTTGGCGATAATTATTTTTATTTCATGGGTGACTTTCGCTGGATTTCGCAATTAATTTCCGTTATTCCTAAATTTATTTCCAAGTTATAAAAATTGTTATCGTACAAAAAATTCGTCGCAAAAAAAATCACGTAAAAATCATCGAAAACAATTGCAGTGATGAAAATTTGCGAATTCAAACAACTGCATCATGAGCAGAGTTATGTCCCTTTAACTGAAAAAGTGTGACACAGTAACACACTGACATTCGTATGTGTTTTATATATATATATAATCGACTCTCCCGTCGCGTTCGACGTATGAGGGTTAGGCCGATAAGTCTCCAGGAAACCGACATCCCGACACCGGCACATGAGATTTGATTATAGTGGTGAAGGCCTCGTGCAGGACCATCCACACTTTTTGGAGGGACGAATACAGAAACCTGGTGCACCGAATGCCACAAGGTTCCCAAACGACCCTCCGCAGGTTTTGAATTCAGAGTTGTCCTTCTCCTAGACCAGTTGCCATCCAAGGCTATAGAACCCAGTCTGTCCTGCTATTTTACCCATAGCTGGAGGGAGATGAAGAGGATTCATACCTTTCCCAAGGGTATTAGCACGTAAGTGAATGTAATGGATTCGACTGGAACTCGGCTCTGCGATTCCTCAATCCAAGCCGCTATCCACTACACCACCGTGCCTCCTATATATATATATATATATATATATATATATATATATATATATATATATATATATATATATATATATACATATATATATAACAATATATTCTAAAAGGGTTTCAATACAAAGTTCTTGGCCCGAATCTTTTTATAAAAAATTTATAACATAATTATATAAATGTATAGTTTCAACACACTCTGTGTATTTAAATGGAAAAGTGACTTAAGCATAAAAAAGAATTTCTTCAAACGTCACATTTTTTTTTATTTTATTAGCATCTTCGTTACTCAAGTGATTTTATAATGTTATATATATCTGTATGTCTTTTTTTCTTTATCTACATTTCATCATTCCATTTCTTTTCTTTCTTTCTTTATATTTCTTTCTTCGTTCTGCTTTCCTTTCTTTTTTATTTATCTATTTTTCTTTTATTTTTATTTTTTTTTCCTCCTTCTTGTTCTTTTTATTCTGCATTTTTTTCTGACTTTCTTTATCCCCCCCTTTCTTTTCTTTCTATTTTCCTTCCTTTCTTTATTCTTTCTTTCTTTCTTTTTCTTTCTTGATTCTTTTACTGTTTTTCCATTTTCTTCCTTTCATTATGCCTTTCTCTCATTTTTCAATTCTTTCTTTATTCTTCTTCCATCTTTCATTTTTTATTTCTTTCTTTCTTTTCATCATTCCTTTTTTTCCCCCTTCTTTCTTTCTTTTCAGTCATCGTTATTTACTTCTTTCTATTTTCTATATATATATATATTTTTTTTTTTTAGTGTTAATTTATTTTTTAAAAGTATATATATATAACATGGAATTAGCAGAGGTACGTTCCTGTTTTTTTCTTTTACAAATTTTCTGAGAATTATCAACGCAGAAATTGGAACATCTCTTTTTGAATTGTATTTGGAACTGCAGGAATTTTGCAAATTTAAAAGATTTATACCAGAAATGTGAGTAATTTTTTGTCATTTGAATATCAATTAGATTTTTCTCTTTTTTCTTTTTTTTTTTTTTTTTTTTTCTATGTGTATGACAAATTTTTAACTGGGTACCAAAAGATTTTTTCTCATCTCCTTTTTTTATCTTGCATATTTACAAAACTACCATTCGTCCGTCCATTGAATAATTTTGGCATATCTGGTCTGTTGCTTGTGTTACTGTGTCTGTGTTTCTTGACAAAATAAAAGATCTGTAATGTAATCGATCCTGACTTTCTGTGATTTGATGTGGCTTGAGTTTAAGTCTTATTCTTTAAAAAAAAACGGAAAAGAAAAAAATTTCATGTTTATCAGATGAGCTATTTTCCTGTAACCGGACTGGGTGTGTCAGACGTAATTTCTGAAGAGATTGGCAAACATCTAGGTTTTTTCTTTTTAACAGTTGAATTTTTAGTTAAATGTCATCGCCTTTTCTATTCTAACAATTTTAATTTTCTCGCATCTTCCCACCTGTTAAAGTCCTTTCCTTTTTAATATTACCCGTTCATCTTTTATTCCTTCTTCAATCGTCCCTATCTCAGTCTTTTCTCTCACTTTTCAACTTCGTATTAGTGGGATCGTTATTCCCTGAAACTTTTGGAACGAAATGATTAACAAAATTTAAATGCAACGTCAATCGCCATCTTCTATCTTCTTGAATCCCGTTCATCTTTTAAATTTTTTCAATCCTATATATATATATCTTTCTTTCATATATATATATTAGTATATTAAGGGTTTGCCTGGAATAAAATGATTAACAAAATTCTCAAATTATAGCAATGTCAATCGCCATTATTTAATCTTCTTTGAATCCCGTTCATCTTTTGTCCTTTCTTCAACCTTCCTATTTTTTTTTCTTTTTTCTTAGCATCTTCCCTGTTACCCCCTGCGTACTAGTGGCATTCCCGCTTTGTCTTTTTGAAATGATTAACAAAATTTAAATGCAATTTCAATCGCCATCTTCTATCTTCTTCTGAATACCGTTCATCTTTTTTCCTTTTTCCTCAATTTCTCCCTATACCTCCTTCTGTCTTTTTTCTTTTTTTCTTTATTCCCCCTGTAATCCCCTTCCGTACTAGTTCTTTCATTCCCACCTTGCCTGGGGTTTTAATGATTTAAATTTTCTTCCTTTCAATATACCTTTCTTCATTTTTTCAATTCTTTCTTTAATCGCCATCTTTCATTTTTGAATCTTTCTTTCTTTTGTCCATTCTTTTTTTTTCCCTATCTTTTTTTCTTTTTCATTCCCGTAACCTCCTGCGTTTTAGTGGCATTCCTCCTTTGCCTGAACGAAATGTTTAACAAAATTTAAATGCAATGTCAATCGGCATCTTCTACCTTCTTGAAATCCCAACATCTTTTGTCCTCTTTTTGAATTGTATTTGGAACTTAAAACAATTTATAAATTTAAAAATTTTAAACCAAAATTCATTTTTTTTGTCCTTTGAATATGGATCAATATATGAATCAATTATGAATCAATTTTTTTTTTTTTTTTCAGAGATAACAAATTTTTTTGCAGGTACCAAGATTTTTTCTCATCCGACTCCATCTTGCATATTTACAAAACTACCAAATTGAATTATGTTGGCATATCTGGTCTGCTGCTTCTGTTACTCATCTCGATTTCTTGAAAAATCCAAAAAGATCTAATGTAATTATCCTGACTTTCTCACTGACGTGTGGCTTTCTTTTTACAAATATTTTCATATACTTCAGATGAGCTATTTTCCCTACCGGACTACTCATTTAAGTTACTAGATTGGCATCTATCTCACACTCTTTAACGTTTAAATGGCTTCATATGCCTTCTTCCGTTCCTCAATTAAATTTCTCACTTCCCCACCTGTGAATTTGGTGACATTTCCTTTGTACCCGTTCAAACCCCTTCTTCAGTTGAGCCGTGTAAATCGAGGGATAATTTCAACAAAAATTAGTGGCATTCCCGCCATATCCCTAAACATGAAATGGAACAAAAAAATGCAACGTCAATCGCCAGATTAAATAAAATTCCGTTCATCTTTATGTCGATATACCTCAATCCTCCCTATAATCAGTCTTTTCTCTCTTTTCACTCCTGAACCTCCTGCGTATTAGTGGCATTCCCGCCTTGTCTGGAATAAAATGATTAACAAAATTTAAATAATGTCAATCGCCATCTCTATCTTTTTGAAGTTCATCTTTCAGGTGATTTTTCAATCCTTCCTATATGCAGGTTTTAATCCCCTCTCGTCAGTTAATTTCCTGTTTTGCCTGGGGTGAAATGTTTAACAAAATTTAAATGCAATTCAATCGCCATCTTCTATTTTGTTGAATAATTCATTATTTTATTTTAATTTTTGAAATAATAATGGTTTTAGTGATACACGTCTTACCCTTAATCCCCTGCGATGGGGAAAGAAGAATCGGATTAACAAAATTTAAATACAGCGCTATTTACGCCATCTTTGAATCTTCTTGAACCCAACATCTTTTGTCCTTCCTCAATCCTCGATTACTCAGAACTTTCTCTTTTGTTCATTCCACATAACCTCCTGCATTAGACATGGCATTCCGGCTTTGCCTGGAACAAATCCAAGGTGTTTAACAAAACATTAAATGCAATGTCAATCGGCATCTGTAAATTCTTGAATCCCGTTCACCAAGGTCGATTTTGCAAAACTTAAAACAGGTAAATTTAAAAATTCTGAAACCAAGTCAAATCGTGACCTTTATTACATGATCAATATATGAATCAATTATGAATCAATTTAAGCCATTCCAAAATATAACTAGAACACAGAAAGTCAAATTGGGACACGACCGTTATTAACCTATGATCTCGTCATTATTTAAAATATTCGGACCCTCATCTTTGTTGTTGTTATCAACGACCATGTTTCCTTCGATCTTCCTCAGTTGGTTAATGCGCTTGGGAATTTGACAAAGTGTTGAACGACCACCCTTCTCTGAAAACACATAATGGGCGAGGATAAATAAACAGAAATAAAAACTAGACGCCATATCCCTAAACATGAATAGTGGAACAAAACAGAAAAACAAATCATTTGTTCACATTCCAATTATGCAGGTCGAATAAAAGGTTAGAAGGGCCCCAAAATGAAATAGTGATATCAACAACAAAGATGAGGACAAAAAAATATAAATAACATAATCATCATGTTGACATCTCCACACTTTCAAATAAAGGTTATCAGGAAAACCCAAAGATCAATAATCTGGAAAGAGTCATTAATTAGCTACTTTTTGTTTAGAAGAGAAACACCTAATGATTTATAATCAAATATTTTGACATTTTTACATTTTAATTTTTCAAATAAAATGGTTTTAGGAAGAAACCCCTTAAATTAACCCATGGATGGGAGAAGAAAATAATCGATTCAACCTTTGCCACTATTTACGCTTGAGAATATAAAGAGATCCAACTGGAATTGGAACTCGGTTCTTCGATTAATAATGATGTTTGTTCATTCCACACTCCAACAAATCCAAAGGTTACAAGAATGAAATTCCCATTTCCACACTCATCTCGGTAAAAAAGGGTAGATTTTTGTTAACAGCTACTGGGTGTTTTAAGAAGAGGCCGTAAGTCAGTCGGACTGAAATAATAAAATCCTCATGATGTTGACATTCCACACTACCTCGTCAAATAAAAGATTATGAAGGAAACCCCAAAAATCAATACTGTAAGAGTTTTAATCAGCTAAGAATGGACTTTGAGAAGGGAAAATACGACCATAATCATGATGTTGACATTCCGCTACAGAATCAAATAAAAGGTTAAATAAGGAAAACCCCCATTTGAATACTGGAAAGAGTGAACTAAAATGCTACTGGACAGAGAAGAAAAATAATGACATAATCAAGATGTTGACATTCCACACTACTTCAAATAAAAGGTTAGGAAGGAAAACCCCATCAATACTGGAAAGAGTGATAACAGCCACTGGGCTTGAGAAGAGAAATTAATGACATAATCATGATGTTGACATTCCACACTACTTCAAATAAAGGTTAGGAAGGAAAACCCCATCAATACTGGAAAGAGTGATAACAGCTACTGGGCTTGAGAAGAGAAAATAATGACATAATCATGATGTTGACATTCCACACTACTTCAAATAAAAGGTTAGGAAGGAAAACCCCATCAATACTGGAAAGAGTGATAACAACTACTGGGCTTGAGAAGAAAAATAATGACATAATCAAGATGTTGACATTCCACACTACTTCAAATAAAAGGATAGGAAGGAAAACCCCATCAATACTGGAAAGAGTGATAACAGCTACTGGGCTTGAGAAGAGAAAATAATGACATAATCATGATGTTGACATTCCACACTACTTCAAATAAAAGGTTAGGAAGGAAAACCCCATCAATACTGGAAAGAGTGATAACAGCTACTGGGCTTGAGAAGAGAAAATAATGACATAATCATGATGTTGACATTCCACACTACTTCAAATAAAAGGTTAGGAAGGAAACCCCCATCAATACTGGAAAAGTGTGATAACAGCTACTGGGATTGAGAAGAGAAAATAATGACATAATCATGATGTTGACATTCCACACTACTTCAAATAAAAGGTTAGGAAGGAAACCCCCATCAATACTGGAAAGAGTGATAACAGCTACTGGACTTGAGAAGAGAAAATAATGACATAATCAAGATGTTGACATTCCACACTACTTCAAATAAAAGGTTGGGAAGGAAACCCCATCAATACTGGAAAGAGTGATAACAGCCACTGGACTTGAGAAGATAAATTAATGACATAATCATGATGTTGACATTCCACACTACTTCAAATAAAAGGTTAGGAAGGAAAACCCCATCAATACTGGAAAGAGTGATAACAGCTACTGGGCTTGAGAAGAGAAAATAATGACATAATCATGATGTTGACATTCCACACTACTTCAAATAAAAGGTTAGGAAGGAAAACCCCATCAATACTGGAAAGAGTGA